TGCCAATTCGAATAAACGTGTGGACACATATACATAGGGAGGACTCATCGATCTCTGCAAGTTAAGGCTTCAGAAGCAAATAGAACCCATCAATGGTGAGAACAGGAGACCTAGCTCCTCAATTGCGAAACATAGTATAAAGAAAGAACATAATATTGACGTTAACACATATTTTAAACCTATCTATAAAACGTGTTTAGGGCGTATGCCAAAGTTTGTGGAAGTCCTAGCAGTTAGAAAGTTTAAACCACCTTTATGCGTTCAAAAACAATTCGTCATCACAATAAACCTACCTTCCTTGGTAAACTTTGTTTTGATACCATAGCAGATGTACTATTACCTCTGCTATTTGGTTTAGTGGTCTTCATTGTTATTTTGACCCTCATTATATCCTTTTAACTTGACCTATGTCTATTTTCTCACATCTTAACTGTTTATTAATTTTATGTTTATTCTTATGACAAGTCCGTCAGTGATGAGATTGTTCGAAATGTGTTGCGCAAATACACATTAAACGATTCAGATAAATACCGTCTTTTTATTGCTTTATCTAAATTCATAAAGGGAACTAATTGTTTTAATAATAATAATAATAATAATAATAATAATAATGGGCAAAAACATTGTAAAGGTAAAATAAAAGTATGCTACCAAGGTAGATTTAGGCTAGCTACTGTCTCCTTGTGTATACGGAATTCTGGCTTCCTTAATCTGTCTGGACAAGCTTCAGCAAAACTGAGAGCCTTTTTATTAACTTGCTTATTAATAACTATAAAGCTGTTTCTGAAAAAGAAAGTTAATATAAAGCAACCTTTCAAGGAAGATAATGTTACTCAATTGGTGAAACGTCTTTAGCTTTTGGAGAAAGCAATTAAACGCGAACCTATCACGCGATTGATATGTTGCTCATAAACACAACAGGGAGGATAGTGTAAGCAATAAGTCAAGATAAAACAATCGATATTCGCCATGTTAAAATGTGTACATCAATTTACATGTGTTTGTGGAAGCGAATACATTGAATGTACGGAGAGATGTCCTCCAGCTCGCGTTGTCAAAAACTGCCCCAAATTGCTTTTTAGTACTCATGATGACATCCACGGGAGCTCAATCACACGATATCTGTTGGACTGCGATCATATGGTGACGTTGAGTAAAAGCTCGATAGTTATTAATAAGCAACTTAGTAAAAACTGACGAACTGACTGCTTTCAACATAGGACTTTGCACCGATGTGCAGTAGTTTAAGTCACCACACCTCACTCGGCACACAAAGCCAGAGAAGAAATTAAAAAGCAACGCAAAATAGAGACAGTAAACAGAGATATGAGGCAAAAATAATAGTAATAACGAAGAACAATATAGTTTTATTGGGCGTCATAGTTAACCACGACTTAAAAACTACAGCACACTGTAGTGCGGTGGCTGCACATAGTTCCAGGTCCTTATGGGCAATTCGCAGAGCCTTTACTATAATCGCCAGAGATATGTCCACTTCCTTATATACATCTCTGGTGAGGTCAAGACTGGAAAACTGCATCCAGGCAGCCAGTCCTTGTCTTAAAGGGGACTCACACATTCTAGAGAGGGTTCAAAGGAAGGCAACACGTATGGTTCACGGCATGACTAACTTATCATACGAGGAAAGACTAGACAGTTTAAATCTCTTCTCCCTGTCATACCGTAGGCAGAGAGGAGATTCAATCACAATGTTTAAAATTTTAAATAATGACTACGGAACTAACCTATTCTCTCTTTTCCTTCCCACCAGGTCGGAACACCTTAAAGGACATATCAGGAGAGTTCGAAAGCCAAGAAGAAATCATATTGCTGTTGAGTACTGGTTCTCATACCGAGTCATAAACCCTGGGAACCAATACTGAGAAGAAGTGGTGTCTGCAACCTCAACTGATTCGTTCAAGAAGGGTTTGGACGACCACAGAAACGTACTAGAAAAGGATTAACATAGACTCCAAGCCTTCTATCCTCAACCAATAAATCTAAAAATCTGTATTATAAATCACAAGGAGTGGATGCATCTGCGCCAACCATTGAGAACGGTTTTGAGCTATATTACCACTTGTCTCCGGTCATCATTGGTTTTTACCGTCCCGAGGACCCCAACCAGTTAGGAAGTCTACACCTTCCTACGTGGCTGGCTTAAACTAACTGTTGTGGATTTCATTGACTGATGCCGTGTCAAAAAAGCTCTCGGTTTCGTTGAAGCATGAACAATCACATTAAAGAAGCCGGATTTCTGTATATAAAAGGAGTATTATTTTATTACTATCCTCATTATTATTGTTGTTGCCATGTGTCGTCATTAGTGACGTTCAAAGCAATCAACATATTATCAGTATTTGATCGACAAACTCACCGTCATTGGTTAAAATTTTTTTATAAATAAATCTATATAAATTAGACTAAAGCCTGAAGAAGATCTAATTGAAAACAACACTATTGTTCGCTTATATCTCTTGTTCTATCTGGCAATGTGTTTGTAAAGGAGTATTCAGCTGATGAGTCCTTTTATCGAGACTTGTGCATTGATTAAATACTGCTTTTTTCGCAGTTGTTGCTTGTTTTAAATTTACCACGAGAAAAACAAATGTTTTCAATGTGACTACTTATATCTCAGTCAATAAGTAGCATATTGTTCTATGCATTGACGCTTGGTTTCTTCGTTACCATTCACGCTTTCTAGCGGGTCTAAATAATTTCGGTTCTACTCAATTTTTCGACGGAATTATACAAGGTAAACTTGGAAAGTAAGTATGTAGCGACAACAATCTTCCTTCTAAACTGCAAAATATTTGATTGGAAACTCAACTATCCGTTTTTCAGCCATGAGATAGATTTCCATATTAGTTTGTTTATTAGATATATCACTGAGTGAAACAGTATTATTTACTGGATGACAAAGTTTCGAACAAAATTTATTGTTATTCATAATCATATCATAATTGATATTGAAACGTTCACCCCCACCTCAAGAGTAGGGTGGAGGTATGTAGATGACACATTCACTATACTTAGAACACAGGGTATAGATAGATTTTTCGAACACATTAACTCAAAGGTGGAGGCAATTCAATTCACTTATGAACTGGAAGGTCAGGAAAGGGAGCTTCCAATGTTAGATTGCAGCATAAAAAGGAAAGAAGATGGGAAGTTAAACACTAGTGTTTTATAGAAAACCCACACATTCAAACAGATATTTGGATTTCCGATCATCCCACCCAATCTATGCCATTAAAAATAGGATTGGTGAAATGTTTAAGTGACAGAGCACAAAAACTAAGACAGGAAGTGATACATATAACAGAAGCCTTGAAACTTAATAATTACCCTGATAAATTAGTCAGGAAATATGTAGAGAAATGTAAAAATAAAATAAATAATGTTAATAATAATGACATGCAAGTCAAATGTGCGCAAGACAACACCAACAATAAGGAATCTAAATCATCAGTAGTAATTCCATACAAGGAAGGAACCTCGGAAACCTCACGCAGAATTCTTAACAAGGCAGGAATAAAAGTGGCTGGCATTCAAACACCCCACAAACTCAATTAGAAACAAGCTTTGTCGGTTAAAGGATCAATCCTGTAGAGCCTTCAAAACAAAACAGTTTATCTAATACCCTGCAATGATTGTCAGGTCAAATACGTAGGTCAAACTAGTAGAACAGGTGCAGTCAGACTAGCCGTGCAGAAAAACCCAGCAACATCTAGATTAGTTGACCCGAATAAGATAAGAAAACTAGAGAATAGTTCGGCCAAACCACTCACTACATGCAGTTACACACAATCATACAATAGGATAGATGGGATAAGATGACGGTTTTAAAATCTAATGTCACAGGGTATAGGGAGAGATTGATAACAGAAGCTTTGTTTATAGAATCAACTACAAATACATGTAATAGGAATGATTCATCACATGTCCCCGATATCTGGAAAATTCTACTACCCATACGACAAATAGGAGAGAACAAAGAGAACTATAAAACTTAAGTTTCGAAGTCGTGTGATTATAATTGATATGATTATGAACAATAAATTTTGTTCGAAACGTCATCCAGTAAATAATACTGTTTCACTGTGTGATATATCTAATAAACAAACTAATATGGAATGAGATAGATTTGACTGAGGTTAACAGTATGAAGTATAAATGAGTTACAATATACTGTCGGGGAATGCAATAATCTCTTTTAAAAAAAGTTCGATTTGTCAATAGAATGAGAATGATAGAAAGCGTAATAACTGAACATTTGCTCGACACATATCATCTTATTATTTCCACGTCTTCCTCTAAAATTAACTATAGGAAGAATTATGGTCTGGCCAAAATCACTACACCTGTATTGCTGAAGCTCTCTCTATTGAAATATAGAAGTCAAAGCTCTGTCTACAGGAGAAATTTGTTCAGTCAGTGCTGCATTCATGGTCTTAAACCATCTATGATTACAGTCCACACTTCGACCTTCACCTTAGATGTTTTCCATTGTATTCATCCCTTATTACTTCAGGGGTATGAGTTCCGTCAAGGAGGTTACAAATACGCACTGCCTTGATGACGAATGAGTCCCAACTAACATGAAACCTAGGTCAAGCAAGGCTTCCTAACGATTGCCTCCATCCATCGTCATCTTCAACCATGAGAATGTACCTCTTGCATCCATCCATCTGGGCGTCCTGGAAGTATATACCCAGCTCTGGTAAAATCTATGAGACTCTGTGCCTGCATAACAATAAAAACCATTATTGCATCAGTGGTACAGCCAACCACACATGTGGTCCGGAGTCCGATACCCGGTCGATATACTCCTTTAACTCGCTAAGCCAGTAATAAGACTGGTAAAGAGGGAAGGTTGGGCATGAGGCTAGCAACTCCATCCCGTAAAGTTAAACACCACCGCTACCGAAACTTCAGGCCTCTAGCTTGAAGCCCCTTATGTTCCACTGTGAACGTCAAGAAATAAAACAAGAACTGTTCACAAAACCCAAATTTACATGTACTTTAGTGTTTGTTTTTTTAAAGTAACCAAAAAAGAACAAACAAATAAACAAAACTCTAAAAAAAATGTTTTCTAGTTTTCTTGAGTAAGTAATTCAAAAAATATTGATTAAACCAAAATAAACAAGAATTGTGTGAAATGCACACACACACACACACGGAGAAACAAGTAAACAAACACTAGCCAATTAATTCTTAACAAATTTTGAAAGAGGCATCGACGAAGAAGCAGTGAGACTCAGAATTAAATTTTTGTCAAAGTTTCTGTATACTCTCTTTATGAATGCTCTGAGAAGGTGACTCTGTCTAGTGAGTGGGAGACAGAGAGAGAGAGGGAGAGAAAAGCGTTACTGGCAAATTATTAGCTGTGATTACCCCCGCGGCTTAAGAGTATGAAAGACACAACGCACATCCATGTGAGTAATGATGTGCATAGGCATATGTGCCAGCCATCTCATTTATGGTGAAGAAATCTCAGACCGGAGACTATCATAAATCCTATGAATATAGAACAAAAGCAGAGAATACCACTTCTTCTCTTTATTCTGTTTGGCTCATATTTGACAGAGTTACAATGATGATGCATAGAAGAAGCGGGCGCAACTGAAGGTGTACTGAAGGTTTTCACACCATACGAGGATACAGCTGGCAACATATCGAACAAGATCACATATAGGAAGGATGAAGCAGCGAAATTCTGCAATAAACCAATCATCAGTTGACCAGAATTTCCATGAGTATATGATGAAGGCGAAGTGAGTGTGGTGTTTGCATGCGTCGATGTGAGATTATCGTCGTATGTAGTAGTGTAGGCCAACTCGTACAACTTTTTACCGGATGAAACACCGAAAGGGAAAACCAACAGGTAACATACCAGGACGACAATTGTGATGTATCTCTTGGTGTTTGTCACACTTGATTGAGCAAGACGAAATCCCAAGGTGGCTGCACATAAAAACTGATGCATAGCCATGCCAACAGCCATGCTAACAACCTGAAGATGAGAACAAAAACAACATAATGCCAATTTATTTTAAAGAAGAAGGGACTAACTTGTCACACTTACAGGATGCAGACGAAGTAAAATAATAACAACGGTACACGTGAATTCACACCTCGACACCTTTGAAAGTTTATTAGGAAAACAGGATTGATCACAAACTGACATCATTTAGAGAACCAATAGAAACCACCAAGGAATACTGGACAGATGTTCCAGTCAGCCTAGTTTGGGATTCTTCAGCAGTACGAACCCATCATCAGAGTTCGAATCTTGGACCTTCCGGTTATGAGGTGAGCTCACAGACTGTTCCTCAGCCACTGGGACCCGACCCAATGGTAAATGAATTCCAGCTTCTACCAATTCGTGAAATTATGTCTTTTTTCTACACTAGTAGGCTTCTTTGAACATCTTGAGCAAAGGTCGGTACATGTTAAATGTAAGATAATGTTACATAGCTGGTTAGTGACGATTCCTAGTTTAAAGATAGGGCAGTGAATAATTTAGGCGGGTAGACAACTTCACTAACTTTGCAAAGCTTCTATTATCTTCCTAGACAACATCTCCAGTGCGGACTTCAACACGAAGTGAGTTTTTAGAACTCTCCATGAGTTTATTCGCTGTCTGACCTTGGAAAAGACTAGTTACTTCAAGAGATTTTCTCACCCACATGTCCACTTGTATAAGAATTGATTATTTTTTTCACTACCAATGCAAGTGGACAAATTTTTTTTTAATTTTTGGTTACAGCTTGATGCCACACCGTATTTTCAGTACAGGTATAGCATTTTCAGCATGGATATCGGTAGCCCAAATTTTGCAGGCCGACCATAGATATAGGGTGTGCGTCGGCAGGGGATTGAACCCCGGACCATGTGCATGGTCGGCGAGAGTCCTAACCACTGTGCCACCGACAAGAAGGTGAGAAAATTTTCCGGAAGCAACCAACCAATTTCAGGGTCATCACGGTCGATAGCTAACTGACTCATGGAAAACTATAAACGCTCACTTCGCGTTGAAGATATTGCCTTGAAAAACAATGCAGTCTTTGCAATCAAACCATACAGCTCAGAGAACACAAACTGCATCAATATCATTTCACCTGAGATGACAAATCTTCTCCATCGTTTCTTACGGGAATCAGTTTTTGTAAACTGGTCATTAAGGAAATGTGGTTTGACATTCGTCAGCTTGCACCTTCTTTGGTACTATCTATCAATCAAAGAGTGTGTTTAATGTGCAACAATTCACTCTGTCCCTCTATACGGGGGTGTGAAACACGACCTTTGAAAGCAAATGAAGAATAATAGATGTTGCTTAAGAACCACTTAAATTTTCATGCAGTTTTTAATGAGCTACACCTATTGCCTGATGCTTAGTGATACAATCTGGCTGCTTACACCTCAGTAGGTGGAGATGGGTTTGAACTTTCAACTTAGCAGTTCGAACTGGAGTGTCTAGACTAATAAGCAACTTCTATCGGAGGTAAGAGATATAAGAAAATCAGGTTCTTGAGATTCTGTCTTTCAGGAAGGCTTCGTGTGCTCTTAGAAGTGTGTGGGCGGTTGTTACTTCCCGGCTGCCCACACCGTAGAAGTTGGTTGGTTTTTCGGGCACCTGAAACAGAAAGACGGTTAGTGTTGCGTGACCGCAGAGCCCAGGGGACAACTGCTTGAGGCCGGTCACACATGGCCTATATGAACTTGTTTCTGGGATTGGTTCTGTTTTAGTAAATTTACCGCCGGTTACGGACCACCGTAGGGTAAGTTGGGATGTACTATTTTTCGGGTCGACCTTCTCTAGCCCCCTCTCTCCGGAGTGAAGAGACAGCATAGCTGGCATGCTGGTCATCTGAGGGAAACACTTCACTGCTGTAACACCCCTGTTCCCCAGCAGTACGACTTCACCCTCAGACCCCCAGCATAGTGTGAGAAAGATTCTTACACAATGCCGGTAACTGCTTATAGTCTAATCGCTATCCTAACAACCTTCCTGGCATGGTAGGACCTGCAAGAACATTGGTTCCAGCCAGTGCAGCTTGTTGGGTCATCGCGATGTGCAAGCCCGACCACCACGACAAGGTAGCAGCAGTTTTCAATGAGCTACACCTGTTACCTGATGCCTAGTGATACAATCTGGCTGCTTAAACCTCAGTAGGTGGAGGTGGGCTTGAACTTTCGACTTAGCAGTTGGAACTACGACGTCTGGACCAATCAGCAACTCCTACTGCGGGTAAAAGGTGTAAGTAAATCAGGCTCTTCAGATTACACACATGGAATTAGGTAAGCAAGAAATATTGACCGACCAGATTGTCATGGATGCCTAGCTACTATCTCAATAAATGACTAATGCTTACCATGACACATACTTTATGGAATAGTGGTATATATAAATTTAACTTCGCTTATATCTGAAAGACTGAGAAAGATGGTGTTTTCTAGGTGCTATTTGTTTCCCAACCACTGTGACAAGTGAACGTTAGTGATTCCAACAATCAACATGTTTACCTTACTTAATGCTTTGACTGACTGGTTTCAATACAGAACTTCGCACAGATGTGCAGCAGTTCAATTTACCATTCTCCCTTCATGTAGCTCATAAAGCAAGAGGAGAAAGTAGGGAGAGATCCAAAAGAGAGATAATAAACAGAAGCGTGAGTGAGGGAAAAAATATAGTAATAAGGGAGAACAATAGAGTTTTAATGGATATGACAAATTACAAAGGGTGAATACATTTGCACCATCACTAAGAACGATAGTGAACCGTATCACCAATTGTCTCCAGTCTTTATTGGTTCTTACCATCCCAAGGACCCCAACCAGCCAAGCAGTTTACATTTCCATACATGAGTGACGAAAACTGTTATGCATTTCATTGACCGATGAAGCCATGCGTAACACATGTCCTAACCATCTCAATATATGCAGCTGCTTCACAACCTCGTCGATCGATTCTCTCCTTTTACCTAACACTCTACCGAAGCCTCATGTCAATATTACTCACCCTATTATACCACCTAACACGGAAGATAGAACGCAGACATTTATGGTCAGAGACAGCCAGCCAACCAGTCTTTTCATTTCTTCCACCCTCAAGGCTCATGTCTCACAGTCACAGAGGAGAACAGTTTACAGTTTACACATCCCTTGATCGATAGCCACCTAGATAACACGTCTACGCCAGAGATGGAGTAAGTTGGGAAATACTAAACGAGCCTTCTATATCTGTGCTGAGACTTTGTCAGAGATTAACCAGCTGGCGTTGGCTGATGCAACTGCCCAAATAAGTGGAGCGGTCAACACACACTGGACCACTTCAATCCTGCCTACCTCTAAACTAGGAGTCAATGCAGTCCAGTCCAGTCCTCTGGCATCATCTTAGATTTTAAGGGAGCGAATCGCATGCCAAAAACCCGAAGATTGCTGCTGCTCAGTATGTTCAGAAGATTCTGCATTTTGTCAGAGTCTTTACCTAGGAGAGAGGACCATGTCATCCGTATATTGTCAACGAGACAATAATTCCCTGGTAACAAGTCAACCCCTGATTCCAATATAGGAAAAATCCCCATATAGACATTTAGAAAGCAAAAAGGATTGAGCAAGGAAATATTTATTTTTCAATTAGATCCTCATCTCTGGCTCTACTCTAACATATATAACATTTTTGTTGCAATACACAATAATTTACTAATCAAGTGGCATTGATATGTTTGTTAACAATAATTAGTCAATATCAACAGGGGTAATAATTAACGTAAAAAATTAATACACGTTATTGTGCGTCGGTGGCACTGGGGTTAGGACGCTCGCCGGCCATGCACATGGTCCGGGGTTCGATCCCCGGCCGACGCACTCCTTTACCTCGCTAAACCAGTAATAAAGCTGGTAAAGAGGAAAGGTTGGGCATGAGGCTAGTAACCCCATCCTGTAAAAATAAACACTGCTACAGGAACTTCAAGCCTGTATCTTGAAGCCCTATGTTACACTGGGAACGTGAAGGAAAAAAATAATTGAAAGATAGAAACGGTTACAATAGGTGGATTACATAATGAACAACTTCGAAAAAACTAAGAGTAATTAAGGAACAAGCGAGTGCTGAATATCTGAAGCTGTTTAAAACATCACTATGGATGAGGAATATTCAAGCACTGAAACTAATACACATATCTCGGAAGTAGTTGTGCTCAGGAAAATAAAATGTAATAACTACTTGATAATACAGAGAAAATTTCAGCTATAGATTGTACTTTAGAAGAGGAATAACTAACGAACATTTGGCTAATTTAGTTTAGCACATAACTTTAAGCAAGCTGTTTGCCGATACGAATTCCATTCCAAATTCTTCACTTTGGGGGATCGGGCAATAATATCAGCCCTTAAAAACCACGTGCCGTTCACAGTCTGATACATTCACAATCTGCTCTAAGTGCCTATGATCCAGCTAAAAACTAATTTGGATCAATCAAACACGTACAAGCCCGTAGTGTACTAAGTTATCGCCAGTGATGACTGTGATAAGTTTCGGCTGCCAAAAAATGTATAGGCAGAGTATAAATAGGGAAAGACAGTTACCCTAATCACAAAACCATTATTCAATTAGAAGAATAGCCGCAGAGCTGTTTTCGCTAAATTACATGAAATTCATTCATAAATTTCAGTTATTCAGGTTATTTTAACAGGCTAACTGTTATCATGATTGAGACCCTAGAGGGCGATTAGATTTACACATGATTTGTTGTTTCATTTCATTGTTAATGTAAGAGTTACGATACTCGCCGAGCTCCCAGACCAAAGCAAGTGGTTGTCTCCAGGGTCCATCCCCTCAGCCTTTGAGTCTCATCCGCAAGATGACTGAGTAGCGTCAGGAGCTACACGTTCCCATGGTTGCCAGTGATCAATACAGGCTCATACATGATTCTCTCCGTTTGAATTCTGGAGCCCATGTATCCCATAGTAACTGCTTTTAGTCTAACTGCTATCCACAAACAACCTTTCTGGCATGGTAGGACCAGCAGGAACACACGTTTCAGCCAGTGTAGCCTGTTGGGTCATTACGGTATGTAAGCCCAACCACTACATTAAGGTGGCAGTTATCAGTTGGGGCAACTGATACCGAAATATGGTCAAGATAAATTAAACTAAAAATTAAGCACAGTTTTATATTTTTGACAGAAATTCGAAGAAAAGTTGGAATACAGGAAAAGGCTGACGGGAGGAGGCATATTACTAAGTCGTTCGAAAGACAAAAGATTATTAGTGAATTCATATTCTACCATATTTGAATAGCCTAGCGAAATGTCCTTCACCATCAAACCAGGAGGAAAACACTGTCGCTCATTGCTTACTTAGAATACTCGGTAGAGATGAGACTCACTGGTTCAAGCACTCGACTTTCAACCGGGTTCCAATCTTGCCCCACCAACTTCAACATGGGTAACTTAGAGGTATCATCAGATCTCTAACTGACTCAGTTTCACTATGAAACTTGGCACAAAAGTACATCAGTTTACATTGCCACATTCCATGTCACACACACAAAGGTGGAATAAAGAAGAAAAGAAATTCAAACGAACTATATTAAGCAGAAATGTTCGGGAGATGGAAGAGTAACAAGGAGAAACATGAGGATTTAATGGATCTGGGAGATTACAAGAAGTGAGTGAATGCATCCGAGCCATTCGGAATGCTTTCGACACATATCGTCAACAGTCCTAAGCCATTGATTCTTAGCAGTCCGAGAACTCCACCTCCTTTTAAGTGGCTCAAACTAACTGTCAGACTGAAGGGATCACTGTCAGGTTTCGGTTTGAGTACCCCTAACCCTATATCAGACAACAGTGCTATTCCAGAAAGGTGGTGACTCGATATGGGTCGATCTCGCTTTACAATCTTATCGATTGGCTCTCCTTCCTTACCTAACACCCTAAGTGTTACCTCAATATTACTCATAGTATTATACCACTTTACACGGGTGACAAAACGCAAAGAGCTGTGGTTAGAGACAACTAGCCTTTTCATATCTTGCATCACAACTTACACAAAAAGTGCACCTCACAGGCTGGCACATAATAAATCTATTCTAAGGAATGGTGTCATAACAGCAACAGTTACTAACAGTTAGTTGGTCAGTTTTACTATCTCCTCTTTAATACATACCACTTTGTACTAGCTACTCACCTGATACCTTTAATAACTTTGAATTGACTTGTTGATTTTCCTACCCCACATTCTACGAATCTATTATGACTAATCACCATCATTGTCTCCCATTTTAGAATATTTTGTAATCGATTTCAGCCTAGAACGTTTGTTACAAAAATACTACTTATTTTTGTGACTAATCTGTTATTCTAAGTAAAAAATGCATCCGCCGCATAAATGGCCATTATTGTAACGATAACGAATATTATATTTTATAATTTTAAGAACCTGAGGAGAAATTATTGTAGAGAATATTCTTCGTTCAGATTGACTTTTAATTCAAGGTAAGTTACAATTCCACTAAAACCCGGTATACTAATAAACAGTGCGACACAGTCACACTCAGAAGTTTTTATACGTATTGAGCTATTAGTAAAACTATATGGCTGAGGACTCATTATACTATCTAGTTGCAAGGGTTAAAATAAATCGGACTGAATTAGCACTCGAAATCCAAGTCAATTTCTTTACGTTATAAACTAGAAGTCATGAGGGGCATGATTATACTAGACTGGATTAGGTAGAACAGGATTCGGACTAGGGATCCACTGGATGGAGCTGGGGTGTTAATTTGCAATTAAAAGTGTTCTCTGAGCTGGTTGGTTTAGTTGCGAAGCTTTCGTCGTCCTCCTGGACAACATCTTCAGCGCCATATTTAGCACAAAGTGCTAAGATGTTGTCCAGGAGGACGACGAAAGCTTCGCAACTAATCCAACCAGCTCAGAGAACACTTTTAATTGCAAATCATCCACCTGAGCTACAAATCTTCTCTATTATGGGGTGTTAATGCCAATAAGCCACATCTCCATCAATAAGCTAGCCCACCCACCCCCGCCAGATTACATGAAATATGTAATGCATTCAGAATTACACAACACTATAATACTCACCTGATCGAATGAGTCCAACAGACCAAAACTCAATCCTTCAAGAAATGAATGTAAACTGAGTGCACAGCTGAGTAAAATTGACTTCCCAAGGCTGAAACCTTGTTTTCCAACTTTATTTCGGCACACTGATGTTCGTCTGATTTTTGTATTATTGCGTTCAAAATTATTATTATGATGATTACTATTACTATTATTGTCAGAAATTTCTTGCACTGGTAACAACTCGATTTCATCCTCCAGATAAGCAGAACCATTCAATGGAACACTTTCCACAGAGTTTAGGAACTCAAAATTGTTATTATTTAAACTTTTCTGCTCAGATGATCTGCATACAATTTTTGTGATTTTTCTTGAACACCATTCACAGATAAATAAGAAAAATATTCCAAGGCATAAAAGTGCTTCTGAAATAGGATAATGTTTAAAGGCGCTATGCTGAGACAATTCATTTTGGACTGTATGCAACTTTACCGCTGAACTGCTATACAAACTTAAAATTGAAATTCCCATAAACAGACCAATCGAGAAATAGTTTAACACAGAGAATCCAATACCCCATGATGACGAAAATTTATCTCTGTTTACACCTTTAATACCAGCATAAAATGCGATCAAAGAAGAGATAATATTTACACCGAGTAGGATAGCAGTGATAATGAATTTAAGAACACCTGTAGACATTTCACGGGCTTTCTAGTGTTTTGAAATGCAGTAAAATTGAGTAAAAAAACTGTGAAGACCGTTGTATAACGAACCAATAAAATTGGGGTGATACAATAGGCAAAGACAAATGGAATAAAAACCGAGTTGGATGAAATGATGTATTTTTTAGAAGAAAGTAAATGTTAGATGGTGAGACTAATTGTAGCTGCTAAATCGCACAATGTGAATTATTCGGATTTCCCGGAAACGTATAAGTGACAAACTCCTATATAAGTACCCATTATCTGAAAAGTGGAAAAAATATAACGTGAATCAGACAATCACAGATAATCAAATTTTTAGAAAATAGTCGGTTATTAAACAGTCAGTGCATCGCTTCAATGTGGTACATTTATTGCCTCATTTCTATCTTTTCTTTATTTACGGATTCTCACCTATTCTAGTAATGAATGTCTGTTAGTACTGTTTTCATATACTGTTCTGAAGCATACAAATCATGATCACTTTACCGACTGTGGGAACTATTTGGACCTAAAAGAAATGTGAAGTGACAAAAGAAAAAAAACTGAAAATGCTGTCCAACAACCAGTGGTATTTTCACACAGTTAGCGATTCTTTTTTCTATTTTTATTTTTTTCCTTTGTGAATCAGTGGAATATAGGACTTAAAGCTAGGGTTTTGAAATTTCGGTGGTAATGGTGTTTATTTTCACAGGGTGGGGTTGTTAGGCTATTGCCCAACCTTCCATCTTCGCTGAGCTTTTAACCAGCTAAGGGAGGTAAAGGCGTGAGCCAGCCGGAAATCGAACCCTGAACCATCGATGCACAAAATCTCCAGTACCTCCGGATTTGTTTATTTAACGGTTAGCGATACTACGTAGCTATTTAAACCTCGGTAGGTGGAGTGGGATTCGAATCCCTGACCCCTGCAGTTGAAAGTCCATCACCTGGACTAATGAATCACAGCGTACAAAATAAAATGACAGTAAAACATAAACAGTGTGATGTGTAATTTTATCTCAGTTGGCTTATTACAATGAACAACTAATGAAACAAAATTCTGCATTTCATTACCATGAGTTAACAATTTTAAGGCCTGTTCCTTATGTCGCTCATATTTTTGCACTTTAAAGATAAGAGAAGTAGAATGCTACCATTGTCGGTAAAAGACTAATAGCCATTCTTATTGCATATTCTTGTGTTATAATGTATTCGCTGAGCCATGAATTCTTTCCGTGTAAAATTTGGCATGCAGACAGTGACTACAGTAAACTGTTACATCATACAGTGTTATACAGTAATATTAACAGATGACGTTTCCAGTACAAATAGTTACTGCTCATAATCATATAGTCACTCACACAACTTTTTCCTTCATTTATATACATGTGTGGAATTGACTAGATATTTGAATAAAAGTCAATATAAGATAAAGTACACGCAGAAATAATATTAGCGTCATCAATCAAATACAATCAGATGGGAAATAATATGTTTTCATAGTACAAATAAGTTGTTACAATGTTATAATGCGAATTGAATACATTTTAACATTATTTATTATCCTCTGATTTGACTGGTAGTCAAATTCACTATTCAGAAAATCAGCAAACTGAGGGTGGGGGTCACGGTATTAAGTAACACTACACTGTACTTTATTCGCACACGTGTCTTTCAAGTTATGAGTTGGAATTAGGCGAGTATGCATGTCAAGTACACAATGGAACCAAATATTAATTTAAATTGGAGCAGATCAGTTTTCGGTTAAAGAGAAACTATAATTATCATGATAGTGTAATACAACTAGTGCCAATTCCTGTGGAGGTAATGAGAGCAGAAGGTCAATTAAAGGATTATAATGGCTGGAGGAGATGCTGGTGTAGGGAGTTAGCTCTACATCAGTGTGGAATGTTTGTTGAAATTACTATGATGACACAGTAGGTCTCGTGGTTCGACATTAAACTTGGATGAACAGATTCAGACCTGTATATTGAGAACCTAGGAAATGGTTAAAACAGTCACGATTTTAGGCAAATGGTAGTATAAGGGTCAAATTCTGGTTAAATAAAGGTTAAAATGGGAAGAATCAAGCCATATATGTGACCAGATTCGCCCATCACATTTTTACTACTGACTAGGCCCATTGTTTCCCCCTATTTTAAATATGAAATACCGTTTTTACGAGCTTGTATAAACCAATTTGATTTCTTTGTGCTCACTTCTTGATTGTGAGGTAAAGGTTCCTGATTTGAGTGTGAATAGATGGCTTGAAGTCTGTGATAATCCCTTTCTAATAAGTTACACATACACCTTTATCTCACATTCGTGGAACTCTCCATAAATCACATGTTGGCTGTATGTCTTAAGAAGTGTAATCGATAATCATACTTTACTCAGGAGTCAGAGCGAAATCGTATAGTCCCTCTGGTTGAAACCTTGAAACCATAACATTCTCGCCGACCTTCAAGCTTTCAATATCCAATATTCATTGTCATTGATGTATGACAGAAGGTTGGCTGAAATTATCCCGCATGTTCAAGGTCACTGATGGAGTGAGACGCTCAAAGGTCATTTTCGTCCATGTTAGTCGGTTATGTTGGATTGCAGTTCCGTAGCCGTTCGTTTACACATTGGTTTTGCGTTCTGTTGGCATTTATGGGTGATTACCATGTACTGATAGCATTCTTTTGTAACATAGTACTGTTCTTCACACGAAAATAGCCACATTTTGACGTAGTCTTCATTGAATGACACTATGTCGAAAGCTGCAGCTTCTACAAGAAATAAACTATTTGTGGAGATGACATTACCCCCCAGCTACCCCATCTTCCTCATTGTAGAGATGTGTAGCGGTAAATAATTCCCCAAAATTATTAACCACAGCAATCATCACTCAACATTGGATGCTGACCACCACTGTTTAAGTCGACTTGTTTAGCTGAAGGCTTACGGTCAAGCATCCCCGCCATTTGGTGCTCCGTCGTGTCACGTGCGTGCACGATTACTAGCTAGCTAAGCATTCATTCCTACCCGCGATTTGGTCCCAAAATATATATCGTATTTGGACGACAAAATCTGGTCTTTTGCTTTACCATTTGGTACTCGAAGAACGAACACTATAGTGGTTGTTGGTATAAGATCTTGCGTTAGTATAATCCGTACAACTCGCGAACGTCGATACCCGCAGCCCCTAAAGATGTTTTGACGCATTCAGCATGAAACACTAATCATTACAACCAATATGCTAAGTGTGTCGCAGTCAGATTAAATGACGCGGACACCAACATAACTAGCCAGGAAATGAGAATTCCTATCAATCCAGAAAACATATAACACAATTTTATTGAAAATTATTGACAAAAAAAATTTACCGAGCGAAATTTCAACCAACATGCCGGATAAGTCCAGCCCAGAAGGTTTGGCCTCTATGTTCATATTTTCCTAATATGATTCTATTCTCGTCTTTTCCTTTCCTGAACGAGTCGTTTGGGGCGCAGACATCACTTCTTTTGTCTATCAATTCAAAGAGTTCATCGACCGGTACTGCATCGCATTATAGTTTCTCTCTGGATTCTGGGCTGCCTGGGTGTTTCCTCTGAGAACTTCGGACATGGCTGCAAAGAAAATAGAAGTCAAATCAAGTCCATATTAATTTCTTAGAATTTTGAAGATTGTAATGCGATATTTCTTGTAGAGGTATCCAATATCCTCATTTTACGAGCTATTGTAAGCCAGTTTGATTTCTTTGTGCTCACTTCTTGGAGTGAGGCTATGTTCTATGATAAGGTGTTTTCGCGCATTCCATGGGTTATCGCGTTCACGCCTATAGAGACGTTCTAACCGCTCAGTATTGTGAAAATAGATTCTATTTGACTAGTTTTAGGCTTCTGTAGCCAAAAAATGCAATATTTTTGTGTATTGTGTTCGTAGTAATGCGTAAAATTGTCATGACAGCCTAGACGAATTACTAATAAAAAAAGTCATCATTCTGAAGAAATATCGCATAAAAAGTCCATTATTAGGGTTTTAGAGCATTTAGGCATTGTTTTTTGTGAGTTGTTTCAGATCTTAAGGTTGTAAATTGACTGCAGGCAATGGCTGTTGTCATCCCAGTTATTCTATGAGAATCGTGCATTTGAAAGAGAAATAGCCTACAGACATAAGTTTGATGTGTGTTTTGAGGATGTCAGACACTGCTTTTATCATCTGTGATGACTGAAATATTCCATAGCACATGGAAGAGATCATGCAATGAATGAGACAGGCTGCTGCATTTCCTGGTGATTATATCTACTTTGATGAAGTTCCCATTTAAAATTGCTTAGGCGAAGACATGATACTAGTTTATTTGACATTTGCACTTGGAATGTCAGAAGGCTTTAATTGTTCATTGTCAAAAATGGCATCAGATTATGTGTATATCAGTGTGCATGGGGTTACGAAGAATACTGCAAATGGTCCTCCTGAAATGTCAGACTACTTAAAATTAGTATCAATTTTCTGTCGATTAGTAGCTAGCAGGTGTGTCCTACAACTACTGCACCTGTTCAGATCACTAAGATATTCTGAGATCCTTAATGAATTACTTCTGGCTATGAAGGATATGGAAGATGCACTTATGGCTCATATGTTTAAATCATTTATTATTTATATTATTATCTATAGGGATTTTGTGATGTTCAGGTTACAATGCTTGAGTGTATGTAGTGACTGCATGCTTCCGTGCGTGAAGGAAAAGTTGGTTAAAATGAAGATGTGATGAAGTTTTCTGTACAGTGTTCATTGTGAATGGCTTACTAGTTAACACTTATTATTTGCTTGCTGCTATACTGTATTAGACGAACAATCTCTGTGTGACATTACAAAATACAGAAGAATGCTGTCATCACCAAAGAATGAAAAAGGAAAATGAACCTTTTTCAGCAAAGGTATGGAAATTTAAAGCGTTTAACTTTAACATTACTTCTTCCTTACTTCAGCGATTTAAAAACATACACTTTGGACAGTGCCCGGTACGTTCGAACCAGGTGACGCTTTTGCACGTGTTTTCGTTTATATTCATTTATTGCTTACTGTTGATTGAACTTTAATAACGATGGGCCGAAATTCTAAAAGGAGTGTTCGTGTGAACACCAGTAATTTAGAAAATAGCACCAGCTCGTCTAATAACACATTACCACCCCTTATTATTAGTAGTTCACCCAACGTAAAAGACTCGAACATAACTCTGACCCCTGTAATACTGGTGGAAGATGTTCTGTCTGAAAAAATAGAGCTCTCTTACTTAACATGCATTATTAAAGAGATGCAGCTACAGATTGATGAATTAAAAACGAAATTAAATTCATTTGAATGTATACCCGAAACTGTCTCACTTATGAATAAGGAACTGCAGGATCCTACAATCCTAAAGCTTTTTAATATGACCTCTAGAATGACGCCTACTGACTCAGAAAATGCGAAGGAGTTAGAAAACGCCATTGACTTTCTATCCAGCGAAGTTGTTAAAAGGCTGGCTTCGAAACAAAACGCTATAGTGTATAATGTACCAGATAGCGAGCCCATAAAGTCGGTCCAGCACTCATTGCTGAAGGCTGCAAATCTCTTGAGTGCACCTTGTCAGTGCATTCGCCTAAGTAAAAAAGACATAAAGCATCCCTGTCCTATACTCTTTAGGTTCGACAGCTACATAATAGCTGAACGATTTAAGAAGGCCGAAGATCTTCTGGCTACTGCCACTAAATTCAAGACTATTAAAGTAGTCTTGGATAAAACAACTAACCAAAGGCAAGCAACCAAGAACTCCTTCGATAGGAAGTTGACCACACCGAGAACTACACCTGGTATCAGTGCTAAAGTGTCGACGGACACTGAAGCACAGCAAGTCACCTGTATAGAGTTGGAAAAAAAAATCGGCAAGTAAAAGCGACTCGAAACTCAGTAAGAGCAGTGTCACTGGGTGCAATCCTAAAGTACATGAGAGCACATCTGGAAAACCTGCTGACATACATGAGGTTGATATTGACTCACAAACTATGTCTGACCAGAAACCACTGGCAGACCACACTCAATCTGGATGCAAGCCCGAGAGTCCCGCAGTAGAAACTGCAAGAAAGACGACAAAGCCTAGAGTCCCACTCCAGACTTCGACATACCTCCCTCTCAATAAGTCTAATAAGCAACATGTCAGTCTAAAAAAAGACAATGCATGGGTAAAAAACCATATTCCCAAAAAAGTCATCCACCATGTGAATGAAAACACCGCTTCCCGAACTAGGAGTAATATGCCTAGCAATGCACATAACTTGGGAATGCAACGTAGAACGGATCATCAGGATATAAGGAGCACTAGACGGGACTCATATAGGCACCATATTAATGCATATTCTTGTCCAAACTCTCACACTATCTATGTTGAACCTCAGCAACATAATGAGTATAGATCGACACTTGACCCTCTCAATAACTTCACTCACACATGTGATGTGAGCCAATATGCATACGACTATGAAAGACCCATGAGGTACAACTACCAAGGTAATCTTAACACAGGGTACCTAGGTCAAGCAAACTATATATCACCAGTAAATGAACGCAGATACCCATCTATGGATGCAAAAAGTCAAAACATGCAACAGGATTATTTTCGGATGCAGCAAACAATAGCCCCACTCGCTGCACAATTCATCCAGGAAATAGTACACACACTGACCCTGTCTCACCTCAGAGCCCCTCCAAACATAACGTAGGAATAGTAACAAGTAACCATGTTAACCTCTCCCCCAATAACTCTGGTTTACTAACGATTATGCTCCTGAATGCTAGATCTCTCCTTAACAAAATAACATCGCTTCGCTGCCTGGCATACATAGAACGGCCAACACTAATAATGGTGACTGAAACCTGGCTTACTACTGATATACCTGACTCAAAGCTAGCAATAGACAACTACGACATCTATAGGAACGATAGAGTTGACAAAAGAGGAGGCGGCTGCTTAATATAAGCCTCTAAATCCACTAACTCTGATACTTTCAATAACACAACTACTGACAAACTCCCTGAATCTAAGTGGATAAGCATCCACACAAACGAAAATAAAATTCTCATGGGATGTATATACAGACCCCCTAATAGCCCTCAAATGACTGATATAACTATTGGAGAAATACTAGAGCATGCAGCTACGCTGGACTTTGACCACAAAGTAGTGTGTGGCGATTTCAACTTACCTGGAGTAAACTGGGATACCTGTACAGGACCTAGAATCCATGACGAGTTACTACAAGCTATAGACGTAGGCGGATGGAAGCAGTGCGTACGCCTCCCTACAAGAAATGAAAACACTCTTGACTTAATCCTTTGTCATGAAATAGAGCCCACCTCGATAGAGGTAGGAAATAAACTTGATAACAGTGATCACAACATATTGTACTGCACGCTACCCCTCC